AATAATTAATGTAACTAAAAATAATATTGCAAAGTATCTACCAATATCCGAAACTCTGCGGATAAAATGGAGAATAAATCTCTTACAGCTAAAAGTGTGTCGGGACTGTTCGTCTAGTTCTTAGTGACCTTGACTGCTAAGCTGGAGGCGTGGGTTTGATACCCACCCAGATCAAATATTTGTGTGATAAGCACGATCATTTGTTCTGTGTCTGGGTGTAATTTATCTATAACATATATGTACTTAGAAATATTTAAGTCTGGTTACCATAGTACTCTGCTAGTTTAGAAACAGCAGCAGCAGCTCTGTCTAGTTTAGAAACAGACAGTCCTGTGTTAAATATGTAAATGTGTTATTAATATTTATATATGTGAGAGTTTAAATTTTATTTAAATTTATTAGTTATAATTGAATTAAGGCTAGTCGGCTCAGACTATCCAGTAACATCCAGTTCGAGGTACAAGCACGGAGCAAATACAAACGTTGCAAGTGTGCGACCTTGAATTTTTTACACTCTTCAATGCATCCGTATAAACAATATTCTACTCCCAAAATTGCTTTTCCTTTATACCTACTTTTCCTTTCATATTGAACCCCCAATCTTTACATGTAATTTCTAAAGTGCCCGGTTGACGGCGAAAAGCTTGTCCCCTCACGCAAGTGGGAATAAAATTATAGTTGACAAAATGTGGGGTTTTTAATATGTCTCTGCCGACTTGTGTGTAAGTATTTATGTATGTAAATAGTAAACAGTTGCTCATATCAGCTTGTACACTTTTTAATTAATCAATAACATATTTTTTAAATTAATTTTCCTTTTCAATTTAATATCTATCATTTACATAGGTATAATTACAATCGGAACGGTTTGTTCTTCTGTTTAATTTTCATTGATTGTTTTCATAATATTAAATACTTTTAATCGACTTCAAAATAAATTTCTTTCTTCGCGATTCCATTTTTTACGTATGTCATCTGGTCACTGAAAGACTGCTGGATGATGACGATGCTGATAAGCTCGTTAAACTGAGAGATGAGAGCTCTTTGAAATCTACGACTTAATTACATATGAGTATAACTTTCCTGTTGTCTGTACATATTAAAAATTTCAACACGGAGCGGTTTTGCTAATCCTTCGTACACTCACCGCCAGTTGGCCTAGATCATCACTCCATCTAGTGCGGGTCATCCACCTTGCTTATACCTACCTACTTTAATTCGTAATAAACTTATTTATTAGTCGTTAGTTAATACTATTATTAGTTTATTGCTCGTTATAATGGTAAAAGCACCTTACTCGTCTCGCTAGTACCTCACCTAGTTGTCCTAAGTTTTTGTCACAATTTTTTGGGGACAAAATAAATAATTAATTAATAAAAAATGTGATGGCATTAAATCTTAACGTAGGTTATGCCATACTTTCTGACTACCCATTTTAAAAATGTAACACCATCATCGAGGTGTTTTTTTTAGATTACTACTTTTTTTTTAATTTATAATTTTTTGGGAATCCTGAATGCGGCATGCGGAATTACATTTTCCTACTAGTACAGCAAGTCATCAGTTTCCAACGAACTGAAATGGCGAAATAACTGTTCCCGCGACATGGGATTTTTTTCCTAATACGAGAGTAATCCCAATTTTAACTTAATAATTACGAGCTGCGCTAGCACAAAACACAAATGTAAGATCTTCCAAAAACTATTCTTTACCTACGTATTGGTCGCTTGTAAGAAAATATATTAAATAAACAAAGAAAACTATCTTATTGGTTGAAAGTACAGAGGCGTTCTGTCTTATACGTAGTAGGTATTGTTTTAATTAAACAGGTAACCTTTACGCTCTTTATATATTTACAATGAAACTAGCGACAAAAACTCACTAATGAGTGCCGCGGTTGGCTGTTTCTGTAAGACATGGTAATTCCCAGTAAAAAAAAATATACAAGCAGATGTTGACGTTCTAGATAAGTAATTACTTAAATGGTTTCATGGTGGGCATGAATGAAAGAACAAACGAAAGATGTTACTATATACAAGAGCTTTAAACCACAGTTAGGGTTTAATCCACATCAGAAGGGGATAAGGTCAATTTGATTGAATAAAACTTTTTTTGTGATATTACGCGATATCTTTAGCATTTGTAAACCGTTTTTTTTTAATAGTTGGTATCAAGTTTGGTCCAATTTTTCAAAGTTAATTAAGTATAGTTGTGTTTAATTATTTAATGTCTTTTAAGCCTTCGCGTTCGATTAGAGTAACGAGAATTGTGGCTATAACGTAGGTATACATACTTTAAACTGTTTGACATTTCAAAGGACGTGTTCTTACTCGTATAACGGATTTTAAAAATGTCTTTTTTACAAGCTTTTATGTAAATACCTAGTATCGTTTATGTTTCCGTCTTTCAAGTTCATCAATTCACTTAGGTCTTTCAAGACTTACTTGTCCTCTTAACGAGTTCTTAAATTACAGGTGACAGACATACAGTCAAGGTAGCTTGGAGATCAGCTGCTGATGGAGTGAAAAGGTGTTCATAGGAACTCCACCTGCCTATATCAGTTGTGGTGATTTCCTTTGAATAAAGCTCATGTTGAGTTATGATTAAAAATAGTTCTGTTTTTTTTTTCCTAACAACTGAATCTTTAATTTTTGTTAGTAATAACTACACTTCACCTACTAACTTCTAAATCGTTCAGATCAGTAATAATATAACTTAAGTGTTTACACACGTTTTTCCCTGGCATCAGGTACGTGATAATAATATTCCCATCGTTCCGAAACATTATATTTTTTCTGGATTTTCTGTATCCAAATTGTAATATGTAAATTTTTAATTGTAATGTGATATCTGTAATTTTATAAATGCACATCTGGATGTGCATTTGTAAAATTTCATGATGATGGGATTAAAAGTATGACATTACATGGAACATTGATTTTCACAGGTGCATGTTAAGATTGCTCAAGATAGAAGTAATTGACTGTCTAATTCAAGACTCTTAGATTCAGTAACAATATATCTGTATGAAAATGTAAGACAGGGAAGACACCCTACTACTGCGCTGTCTACTTGACGGCACTACGGTACGGTACGGTCTAGTGGTTTAAGCGGTCGCCACGCTTCTTCCTACTACGATAAGGGTTCGATCCCCACATGGGACTACACTTTGTCTGATCCACAAATTGTCGTTCTGAGTCTGGGTGTCCTTTGTGTCCGTTTCATGTAGGTATGTTCATAAAGTCTTCCACGACACAGGATATATTCCTAGTGCGGGCGATGTTTAATTTAAAAAAATCCTTAAATGCTATTTGGCCTAAATAATTTAAGATCAACAGTTTAACCCTTAGCTATTAATACTAAGCATTCTGGGACTTCACTTCATATGATTTAGGGTAAAGGCTAAAGGGAAGTAACGAACTCAACAAAGGAACGATCGCTCTAGGCATCAGGTGAAAGGGCAGTATAGGTTTACTTAGTCAAATGTGTCAAAACAACAAAGATTATAGGTGGTACCTAGCGTTTGGGAAACGCTGAGCTGCTAGAATCCTTTTTTTTTATCATTAAATGGGAGTCTAAAAATTTAGATCTATCTTATTTAAATACAGAAATTGTTGTTATTAATAAAAAAAAATGTATTTTTTTTAAATTTACTTATTAATTTAATATAATACTTGTGTTCACTTGTCTCTGATCACGAACTGGGGCCGGTGCCGTATTTTTATAATAAGTATAAATACTGTATCTAATATATCACGGGTAACTTTCTGTTAATCTATATACCTATGTAAAAATCATAAGTTGGTTTGTGTAGGTACGCTTCAAAAACTTTAAAAGTTCTGCATCGATAAAGCTCAAGTTTTGACACGAAATACAACTTGCCTTTCAAGTAATGTTTTTATCTATTTTCAGTTTTGTTTCTACATTTCAACCATAGGTATGTTTGAAGACAAACATTCACACCATAAACTGTTTTGGCGGGATTTTCAAACGTAACATAGGTGCATAATAAGCCAAAAGCCTACCTTCATGCCGACAAAGCTCTCAGATGGCATTTTTAACGTGCTAGATACTTGCCGTTATAATTTATTCATTTATTTAACTAATAATTTTGCTTTTAATATAAAATAATGTTAATTACAAGTAATGTTTATTTAACTTATTCATAAATTGCATCCCAATTATTTTTCGAATGTAAGTATAAGGTTAACCAAAATCCGTTCAGTAAATTTTGCATGAATGTCTAATAAACATCTATAAGTGTATCTTCATAAACATTTACATTTGTATTTTATATAGGTAACAAAAATAATAATATATTGTATTATACAAAACTTATTATTCAAGACGAATAAATTGGTTGTGTACCTACCTAGTTTTCTAGTTCTTATATGGGTATAATTTTCTGTCACATTATTTTCTAATTATAAGTAAATAAATAAATAAACAAAAACTTTTAAACAGTCCCAGAATAATTGTACGAATACGTATCATACAAGCCGTCGCATATACATGTATTCAACTTCGTTCCATTGAAATAACAATAGGCTATATCGATATATGCGCCTACGCACCCAATTCGAATGTCAAACGCAACTATTGAGTCCGAATACCTGTCAGAAGGCGGGCGGATACTGCGGAAAGCTCGGGGAAAGCGCCACAAGGCAAACCAAGCCACGAATATACACCGAAGGCTCCACGTCTGCCGCCATTAGTCCACTACACACCAATCAGGCGTTAGGGGCGGAGCTTTGCGCACGCGCCGCCTGCATTACAAACTCGATTCAGTGTAAACGCAGCTGTCGCTCCGTATCCACGTATAAAGTTATCCGTTTCCCCGTTTTTAATTATGAGTTTCTTGTGAATCGTGTTTATTTCATGTGTTTTGCGGGATATTTTTTAAAGAAATTTTATTAATATCGGACTTGTTCAGCGATGGTATTGTGAAGTGACATTGGGAGTGACTTGTCATTAGGTGTTTGTTATTTGTATATTACAAGATGATGATGGATCAGGCACATTTTGGAGAGTATTTGCTGAGACAGCAGATGTTGCACGCTGCATCACTTAGTGGCTTGCGTAAGTCATAACCAATTATAATATTTTTCAGATTGTTCCGATGAGCACTCAATTTTTTGATGTTGTTCAACATAGATTATTTTTTAAATACGTTTGTGTGATATATGATCTATCTGACAACAATAAATAAAACATGTACCTAAAGCATAAAAATGTACAAATTATGGTGCAAATTAATATTTTTGTATTTGTATCTCACTCCAGATGGTCTCCCTCTGAAGTCAGACTATAGTTAGGTATTTACCTACTTGTGTGAGGTCTAAATGGGGACCTTATTGCAGTCAGAGTAAAAACAAAGTTTCCTCAATCTGAAGTTATTTTTCATGAACTGCAATACCATTAAGAGTAATTTCATCTAATTTGAAGTTCTGTTTAAATAACTAAAAAGTTTTAATATGAGCTGAAACTTTTATACATGATTGAAAAGAAATATGTACTAACCAAAAAGATTCTTATGGTTATTATTATCATTAACTATCTTTTTTAATATTTATCGTTATAGTTATTTGGTTATTTAACGTAATCTGTGTAACTAGCTACCAATGATAAAAATAAATATTAGTAATACCTACACAATTTACCTATGTATATGAAATGTGCTTGTATTGATGATGGCTTAAGTGTGATAAAATGTGTGCAAACAATGAATAATACATAAAATGTTATTGACGATATAAAGGTTCATTTGATCAATCTATTTCTACCTACTTTGCATGTCTGACAGCAAGTACCTATTGCAAAATACGATGATGGTCGGTTGAGTAGTTAAGGTGCGAAAACATAATGAATGGTAATTCATTATTTTTTCCTTCCTTACTATCGCTATGTATGATATTAATTAGAAGTAATGACTATTTAATGGTTTTTAATTAAGAATCAACCTGTGACTGCTAATCATCGCATCCTGATCGACGCGTCAGGCAATCTAATGCCTATTTATTACGTTAATTCTCGTATAAATAATTCATTACATCATTGAGTCAACATCCTTTAATAGTCCACTGCTGGACATAGGCCTCTCCTTAGAAAGGAGGTTTTGGCCTACTATACCACGCTGACCAGACGGGTTGGAATAGGGTTTGTGTCAAGTTGTCCTTCCCTTTCAGGGTTGTTGTCATGACACCCATGGGATAAATAAGGGTGGTGACACTCCGTATTCTTAATCCGTCACCACACGGATATATATATATATATTTGTATCCCATGTATATATATATTTGTATAAAACGTGTATTTGACGACCGGATGGCGTTGTGGTTTATGTAACGGACTGCTATTCCAAAGGTCGCGGGTTCGTTTTCCGCTCAAGTCAAACATTTGTGTGCATGAACATGGAATGTTTGATTTGACCTTTGAGTTTCTATGTATAATATGTATGTATTTACAAAAAAAGTAAATATGTATTTATATCAGTTGTCTAGTACAAATAGTACAAGCTCTGCTTAGTTTGGGACTAGATGGCGTTGTGTGAATGTGGTATTAATAATAATATTAAATTATAATTAATTAACTCAAAACTTAGTGAGTGAGGTTACCGGAGCCCAAATCCCTCCTCCCGCTGATTCAAGCGGGAGGGACTCCAAGGGCGGCAACGCACTTGTGAGTTTTGAGTTGCAGGTGTCCATGGGCGGCGGTAGTTACTTACCATCAGATGACCCGTCTGCTCGTTTGCCTCCTTATACCATAAAAAAACATTATCTTTATATATACATATATTTGTTATTAATTTTCCCATCCATCAGATCACGTTATAGCAATCAATAGAGTAGTTGACACTTGTCAAATTATCTAATTTTTATCATCTGTCAAAACGACAACTTTGTATGAAAAATGTGCTAAATAGTAACTTTTAGTCTATTTCAGACTACCCAATTGAAGAATATATTCCAATGTTTTTTGATTTAAATTCGTAATAGTTATAAAAATCTAGAATAATTATATTTTTCGTGATGTTTTGCGATATTTGTTTAATGAATCGGTCATTGTTATTTCTTGATGATACAGTTAACTCATCTATTTTAACAAACTGTAGATGTTTGTATTGTCAGGGATGTCCCGAAAAAACAATGTCTTTATATTGATAAAGGAAAATATAATATCTAGTCAAGGGGCTATTTAGAAACCATTTGTCATAAAAATACAAATTTAAACTTCAATTGTCTACGATCTTTATTAGGGAAACAAATTGCAGTTTGAAATTTCTCTGTTAGGATGTCTTGAAGTCCCTCAACATAACTATAACTTATCTATGAATATCGATGACTCAATATTTTCTCTTTGTAAATGTTGTTTAAAGTATTAATGTAGTAATCATTGGATTCTAAATTACTTCAAAAAGGAATGATGATGAATCACTATGGGTTTCTTTGTGTGTGTGTACGTCAGGCGATATTTTTTGTATGCTCCCTATATCATTAAAAGTAATTATTTTTACTACATTGGTTAGCAGGTTAAAATAATTCTTTATTTTTCAGATTCGTTATATTCAAGGGTTTTCCTACTTAAATTTAAAGATAATATTGAAAGGTATGGAAAATTATTGGCTTATGAATATAACTTATTATAATTCATCACGAATTAAGCGTATTGAAGTCGGTAATGCTTTTCTTAGAAGTTCTCAAGTTAAGTATTTTTAATTAAACTACCACGCGTTGTACACCGTCAATTATTATTTGCTTTATAGATTGGTTGCAATTTAGGAGTTCGGTGAAATAGTTAGTTTATGGCACCATTCTTTGGCAATCCTAAAATATAATAAGAAAAAATAATAATAGTATGTCCAAATGGATTCACACCTTTACATTTTTTAATTGGTGTATTATAATAATTAATCTATTCAGATTTAATTAGTTCCGGCTGTGTTGTGTTGAATAATATTAAACGAAATATTTTTAAGTGTTTAATTTATTACCATTATAACTTCTAGAGCAATAAATGAGTTTCTTAGACTATGTTATTTGATTGCTAATTAGGTGACTGCACTTTTCAGCCAGTTTAAATGTACTTAATTAGTTATTCAGCAGGTATTTCACTAAAAGTTGCTAACACATCATCTTATCAAGCTTCACCTGAGGCTATATCATGCACGTTCAACACATTTAACATTTTTTATTCATTACGACAAGTATGTCTTTACAGTTTTTATGTAATTACCATTGTTTTTAAATTTTCCAATGATACTTACCATCCATTGAGTCATAATGCTCAAATGTTTTCAACTACTGAAATTGTACATTTCTCATAACTTAATAATAATCAATAACAACAAAACAAACAACATAACAAAAAAATCTATCACGCCCAAGACCGAACCCACCCTCGATTTCCGCATGCCTACGTAAAAAGGTACATATTCTCAGATGTATATCAAATACTTTACTATCTTGTAATTCTTGATTATTTATTGTATTAATAAAATTACACACAGACCTAATTATTTATGGTTTGAATAAGCGTGGGGTGCTTCTTACTCTCTAATGTTATACTTTTATAAATGGCTGCTATTGAAATGATTACATTTGAAATCAAATACCCTGCGCTTTTGTACAATCAATGGTTATTTTCTATTTATGAAAGTAAAAATGTTTTTAGTAATAATTTTGGTTGTTGTTGAATTCCTTAATTTTAATCTTGTATTATTGCTTATCGAAATGCATATGCTGTTCAAGTTTTAAAGGTAAAAGCAATCCTTGAAGTTGGTCAAATTCCATTTGAAAAATTCCATTCCATAGATAGACACATACAGGTCACTATTAATATAAAGTGCATGGAAACGTGACTCATTTCAAGACATTGTTTAAGCTGACTATACCAAGATTAATCCATGGGAAAAAATGTATCACCCATTGCGGGTTTCGTGAGAAACAAAACACTATCAGCAAATAATCCTCACTTTGTATAGTGAGGGCGAGGTCTAAAGAATAGAGACCTCTTTCCTTAGAATGCGCTAAACAAATGATTTGATTAACACTGTAACTATAACAAAACGTTTAGTTAACACCGTTTCTTGATTTTGTCCATTTTAACATGTATTTTTTTTCAATCCAGTACAGCAATAGGTATTTTTTTATAAATAGGTATATCTAAAATTATTTGGTTTATCTTTATATCGTTGCTTTTATTTTTTAATTTTCTTAATTGAGAGGCGAAATGAGATTACAAATTGATAAAAAGCCGCCTTTCTACACATGTGCGAAGTGGCTAAATTGATCCGGACACCCTTAGAACTAAAAGAAGAAGGTCCATGATACAAAATCGCTCCTTGAAGCCTGTGAACGCCCCAGGAGGCTTCTGCGCTTCTGGAAGGTGCTTGGTTAGCTCACCTAGCTAAGCAGTCTAAATGCGGAAACCGAAGCCCACACCCAACCAACCCTTAGAAATAATGAAATGTTTGTCAGCTTGTTTTGTAGTGTCCCCAAAATTAAGTTCTTGATAAAATCTGCTTCCAAAGCCTAGATCAAGCCAACCCACACGAAGGGGACGCGCTGATGTAAATGAAATAAATATTAATAGCCTTTTGTTTGCCCCAATCACTGGGTATACATACTTGTTTAATACTACTAAAATTTAAAAGACAAGAATTTGAATTTCAATGGTCTCATAATAAAAAGTAATATGCTTAATTAAGGTATGCATTTAAAACCTAGTCCATAAAATGAAATATTAACTGCAAAAAGAATATTTACAAAGTTAGGCTTTTAAATATATTTTTTTAAATAAGCGTGCGTTGAAGTCTTTTCTTTAAATTCCTAATTATGAACTGCCCGCCCGATTTCGGATGAGTTAAATAATTATCTTTAATATATTTTTTTTATTTAATATACAGCCAACTTTTAGCCATGGTTTTGCTGGCGCAAAATATATTTTGTATGTCCCTTGGGAACAGTTCCTTTTCTGGATATAAAAGGGCACAATGTATCCTTGTAGATATCCTTCCTCTGGCAACGTGTATTACACATGCGTGTGTTTCACACAATTAGAAAACACGTAATTTATATTTA